CTTTTTTAGTGTTAACTTACATAAATAATTAAAGTTTTAGGGTTATTAGATTGAAATAGTTATAAATATCATATTTAAAAATAAGGGGAAATTGTATATAATAGCAAACTAATAACCTAAATTAAATGGAATAGCTAGGGTCTGATTTAATTGTGCTCCATAGCAAACATTAGCTAAAATTTGCCAGCGTCTCTCTCCCAAAAATCTCGCTCGCCACTCTCCTTTCTCGCTCGCCTCTCGCGCTTTATACACGGAAGTGTATAATTCTGTTTCTGTTTTGTATAAAGCGAGAGAAAATTGTATATACACATGCAAAAATGTATATCTTCGTGTTATATACTTAATTATACAATTTACAAACATTTTACTTCAAATATTACAGAGAAAAAGGCCAACGAATTATACAATTGCAAATTATACAATTGCAGTGAAATACAATTTTCTCTAGCTTTATACAACAGAAGTGTATATATTGTGTTTCTGTTTTTGAATAAAGCGAGAAAAACATATATCTTCTTGCTATACACTTATAATTGTGCAATATACATACATTTTAATTCGATTCAACTGTATGCAAAACAAATTATATAATTGCAGCGAAATAGGCCAGCGAATTATACAATTTAGGTCAGTGAATTATACAATTGTATATGTATAGTAAATTATACAGTTTTATGTTTGCAATGGAGCGCAATTATGCAAAGTTTCCTATAGCATACAAATATGAATTTTTTGTTTGCTATATGTGAAAGTTGCCCTAAAAATAATAGCTACACTCTGTGTTACAAAAGGGCTATATCCATACATATGTCGTTTTTTTAATACAAAAATACAGTTTAATTAATTTCCCACTATATAAGGTTAATTAGTTGATGTAACTAACAATGCTTTTTTTTAGCCCTTAAACCCACTAATTTGGCACTTTAAATATGTAATTGACCACTACCTTTTAGAATTATTATCTGTTTAAAAATAAAAATTATGTTTGCTCTTTATAAGCCTAAGAAAAATACGATTCAATGGTTACCATCACAGTTTTGATCTGTTATTTCAAAAAATAGAGTAAAGAGAATTGGTATGTAGAATATAGTATTGGCGGAACAGTGTTGAATGAATACGGTATATTAATGAAAGGTTATTTTTTGTGAGAAAAATAATATTTCTTGTATTCAGTTGATTATGTAATCATTTATTTAAGTATTTGATGTATGTATACTTTCGTATAGAATGTATAAATGAAATTACGTGTTGATTTTAGGTTTTCCTGTGAAGTGATTACATTTATTCAGTAAGTGATGAAGGGAAGACCTATAATGTATTCTTGGAAAAGAAAACTTGCAATTGAACCAGGTTTCAAGTTGATGGAATATTGTGCGCACATTCATTTGGAGGGTGTTGAACAAAAAAACATTCTTCGAGATGAACATTGTTCAGACTTTTACAAGACAGAAATAATATTATAAACATATGAAGTGTCTGTGTATCCTCATCCAAAGTGAATGGAATATACCTTAACACATTTCTACTAAAGTAGTGTTGCCATCAAAATACAAACGACCTTCAGGAAGGGCAAAGAAGCAACAGGAGAAGTCACTTAGTGAGTTTAACTTAAAGGAAGAGTACGAATTCTTGTAATACATGTGGCAACGTGGTCATAATAGGCAGTTCATGTCGAATTGCAACACGGAATACATAGGACTTGATACATGCCATTATTGAAGTGTATTATAACTTAATTATCGTTATGTCGAATAAATGAATAAAAAAATCTTATTTGCCTTTTAAATATTTGTTTCTCTGTTTGCTTGCTTAAATTATAAATTAACTTGAATATTATCCCAATACTCTATTTGATATTATTTATATGTATCGACACACTCAAACTACTAATAATACGTAAAATAGTTATACTTAATAATATATGTCGATGAATACATATATAAAACAGGTATACTAGTGAAAAAATTGATTAATATAATATAACATACAACTTATAAAAATACATATACGCCTAGATATTTCTATGATAAAAACCACTTAAAACATATAATAATGTAATTACTACCAACATTTACCGTGTGTTTATCACTTTTAAGAATGTAAGTATCCAAATTTCTTTAAATAATAATTGACAATAAATGAATATAGTAATACTTGCGTATTTTTTTATATGAAAAAAGACTCTAGAATACATTTATACTTTTGAATATGTTGATAAAAAGCAAACACAGCTAAACAAACAATTACCAAAAGCAAATATCCATGTGTATACGTTTTCAGATTAACTGTACATTTATACATACATACATTTATCTCTTCCTACCATTACATTGAATGCAATAACCCCAACAAAAAATTTAACAAAGTAGTTATCAAAATAGTAAAGCAACATGATCATATATAAATAAAAGAGTTGATAATGTTTGACAAAAAAAATAAAAATATTAGTTTTAACCATAAGATAGAAGTTCAAAATTAACAAGGTCAAGAAAATAATCAATCCTAACAAGTTGACAATTATCCATTCTTGCGGATGGCCCGATCATTGTGTTGCCTCATTCTCACTAACAACCCCTTCTTTCATCTTCTTCACTGCATATTACCATAATAGTGTGTCGTATCTGATGCGGTGTAACTTAGAATCAAGGTATTGAGCTGGAATACCTTCACCCTAGCTCACTTTAGGTACTCCGCAAATGCTAGCTAATATATCTCACGATCCCTAATAAATGAGGAAAATACATTACTTAATAAATATGATATTGTTTTTTGAAAAAGTATATTAAGAGAATGACAACATTTGCAACAATCATCTTCAGAAATATAATGACAACATAACTCTAAATACACTAGAAAGTATTCAAATAAAGGTATTCAAAGTTCAATAGTATGTCACGCTGTAAGTAGTCAATGGTTATACGTATGCCACATTATACTAATTTGGAAGGTATATCCTCCACATAAATTTACTTGTTCAACTTACACTACATTCATATTACTACATCTTACTGCAAAATCATCTACAGAAAACAAAATGACAATATAACTCTAAATACACTAAAGGAAATCAAAAATGTAAAGGTATTCAAATACAATATAAGATATTCAAAGTGTAATGGTATGTCATACTATAAATATTCAATGGTTATATGTGTGCTACGATATACTAATTTTGAAGGTATATCCTTCACATACTAATCTAGAAAGTGTAAAGGTATTCAAATACAGTAGAAAATATTGATTCCAGCACAACAATATTGAACACAACCTCTAACTTCAACCTTAATAATATGTCATATACGTAGAACTATATAAAACCTTCAAAGAAAAAAAGAGGAAAAAATGGGGGATTAGAATATACTTGTTGAAACTCAACAATAATTAACCACCGAAAATTGAGCAAACTCGTTGATTGTGAGGATTTAATGGGCCAAAAGTATGTGATTTTGTGAAGCTTACAAGGAGATGAAATTGATTTAGGAGTAACAGAATTGATTTGAGGATAAAAAATTTGAATTAAGGATAATGAAAGAAGGCTCAAAAAGTGAGAACAGGAAAGAGAGCGTGAAAATTGGGAATAGTAAAATTTTATGAATGTGAATTGTATATTGTTGTTAATTCGTTAAATATACCAATAAAATATAAATAAAGTATAGTTTAGCCATATTATTTTAATATAATATGTAGTTTGACATTTTTTTGTAGCTTTTTCCTAGTATCATTGTTTGTTATTTGTTTGAAAAATTTTCATTTTGTTTTTATAAAGTGTACTTATAAAATTTCTTGAGATGCAAAATAGCATATATAATTTTTTATAAATGGTTTCTTTTTATAATTTTTGTCAATTGATAATTCATATAACCAATGTATTTAATTTTTCTTGTGACATGTTGCTTGAGATATATCAAATTTATAATAACTTTCCTTTAATATCATTTTTTCCCACAAATCATATTTAATAATTTTCTTATTAAAATTCTATAATCTAGTATTGCTAAAATAAACGAGGCCTTCAAATTTAGGAGCCTAAAATGATTGCCTCATACTTAAAGGGGCAGAGTCGCCCCTGATAATGGTGCACCCATCTTTTTGAAATTCAAAATTTGCTTGTGTATTATCAATAAATAAATTTGTATCCATCTATTTAAAACAGTATATACTTTTTTGTTCCCCTTTTTATTAACACACTACTTATAATTATCATATTAATTTCGATTAATAATATATTTTTATGTAAAATTATTTTTTAATTAAAAATTATGCTCTTGAAACACGTACACATAATCAAAATACATGTTTATGAGTTGTTCATAAGATGCATCATATTTAATCTCTTGTTTCCGTATAACTATGTATTACATGATGTATTTATTTAATCGTAATTGAAGTAAGTATTGTTATCTCATGTGTTTGGTCAAAAAATGTGTTTCAAATAGTGTGTGTGTATATATATATATATATATATATGTATATATATTGTATATATATACATATATATATGTATATATATATTGTATATATATACATATATATATATACATACATATATATTGTATATATATACATACATATATATGTGTGTATATATATATACATATATATGTGTATATATATATATGTATATATATATATACATATATATATATATACACACATATATATATGTATATATACATATATATTTTGAATAATACATATATTGAATATGTAACTTATAATGGATAACATGCTTGGAGTAATACATATAATGAATGTATGTATTATTGTATCTATTTATTTCAACTTTAATTGTGTTTTAAAAATTCATTACAAATATGTTTAATTCCCATTTAAGTTCTACCTTAAATTCCTATTGCTCCTTTTTGGTCAATTTTCGATCATGGACGTTTTATTGATGAATGAATTTGTACAACATTGGACTCAACTGAGTCCAAAAAAAATTCACATAAAAGTAAAATTCAGCCCAGCCCAATTCTAGAAACCTCTTTTAAAAGACCCTTCAGGTAGGGTTTTCTAATTCGACATTCTCCTCATTTCGCCTCCATATATCCTCTGAGAGAGTTTATCAACTAAGTCGTCTGTCTTCTTCATCCGAGGATCATCAGTTCCCCTTTTGGGTAGTGGTTTATTAATGAGCAAAGAATCAACTCACAAAGGTATGTGCCTTTACTCTCATCCATTCTTTCTAGTTGGGCTCTTCTTCTCCTGTTTCTTTCTCTCTTAAGTAGTAGAGTTGTTATCCGGTGGATATCGTGGGATTTTTTGGATTCGATAGAGGCGTCTAGTCATGACTCTTAGTTGAGTGAGCTCTTTGTAAGCCTTCATCTTCGCTTTTTCATTCTATTGTGTTGTTCCTCTTGAAACTTCATCCACTAAATCGTTCTTTTGCTGATGAGGTAGATAGTGTTGGAGATAACCGCGATGCTCAGACGCTTTCTTTTTTACAACTCCTCCTCAAGATTAGTTCTGCTCAGACGCTTTCTTTTTTACAACTCCTCCTCAAGATTAGTTCTCCCAATTCACATCTGTCCCTCTGGCCCTCGAATTTTTTTGGTGACTCCTTTTGGTAAGCACATAACATTTGTTAGGTAGCTTAAATTTCTCACATTTATTAAGCATTGTAGATTGATAAAACTGGCTGAGGTAATCTATACATCATTGAATATTGTTTATTCACCTGGCTCTAATTCTTAGATTAGAGATTTGTGAAATGTCACTATTTAGTAATTTTCTACATTCTATTGGAAGTTGTGAAAAATTATTAACAGCTAAGGTAATCGGTTGATCCAATACCACATTTGCTAGCTTGTCTACAAGTTGATTTGCTTCTCTAAATAGATGCTTATTCATAATTTGTGGTTGTCTTATGAGCTGTTTTATTTCTTCAATCTAAATTTTTAATTGCCATGATATCTTCCATTTATCCGTATTAATCTTTCTTAAATCGAGTGAGTCATTTTCAAGAATTATATCATGTAAATTGAGATTTTGACATCTCCTTAATTCCATTAGGATTGTAGTAGCCTCTGCCTTCATGCTTGTAGTAATCTCATGCATTGAACCTTTGCACTAATAAGATCTCCATATTCATTTCTGATGCAGGAGGCGTATGAACTTTCTCTCAGATTTCCTCTACCAACTTCATCTATGTTGCACTTCATCCATCCTTGCTCTAGTAATTTCATTCATCCTTACTCTGGTAATTCCCCTCTTAATATCAACCAATGATTCTTTGGTTTGTATTTCTGTAGCTTGGCAATTATTTCCTCCACTCTGTTGGTACCCCAATTCATGGGTATTTTAATTTTGACCAATCAATGCATGTATATCATGGTCTGCTGGAGTAGATATCTGCATCCCACTTCATTGTCATGTCCTTTTTTTCATAACTCTCACATTAACAAAGAAAGAATGGCTTTGTATATGTACCTTAATTTTGTTAGGGATGGTTCATTCCACTGCCTCTGTATCAACTGTATACATAACTTTTGATCTAGTGAAGTTGTTAGAAATAGGTGAAACATAGTCTTTTGTACGTAGCATTCACAACAGTAGCATCTTGAGGCCAATGAAATCGTCATCTTCCTTAGGTTGTCTTCGGTGGCAATCCTCCCTTGCAATACCCTCCATGGGAAACAACTTAGGTTGTCTTAGGTTGTCCAACCATTCTTGTTGTAGTCTTCTTTTTATCATTAGTTAATATGCAGATTTTACTGAGAAATTGTCACTATTATTAGGCATCTAGCATGGTGTATCACTTTCTCGAGGTTCCACGCTAATGTTAATCTTGATCTTATGATATCATGCCAACCATTTTTCTTATTCTTTTCTCCATTTCTGGTGTGACTTTTCGCTTCATATATTTCATCATCATAACATTTTCAATGAAGTATAATACTCCTTACTTGGTCTAGTTATCAAATCAAAACTTGAAGTTTCATGATTTAATTTTTCATTTTATCTCATGTTCAGTCTCATCTCTTACCTCTATTATTTTTTCCATGCACGTGAAGCTCATCTAGCTCTCGCAATAACCGAAGTGTTGATATTTACATTATTTGTTCCACATAAATATACTCCATAAGATCCTATTGAGACCCTAAATCTCTACCATAGCCTCTTAAATAGCGCTTAGTTACTTCATGGAGTGATCTCAAAACCCACTCCCCGTTCTATCTTAGGAAAACATAAATCCTTCCGCGCAACCCAATGTTTTCCCCTTTCTCCCCCTGTTTTGTACCAAAAAAACTTAGCAAAAGCTTGGTGCACTTGTTTTATGATTCCTCTGGTAGGGTTCATGGTTGATAGAAGATACACTGACATATATTGTAGAGCGTGTGCGATCAACACATGTCATCCTCCATAGGATAAGCACTCATTTTGTCAGCCCGTGATCATTTTTGTCATTTCCCTTAGTATATCTTTATAGTGTACCTTGGTCTTCTTTCCATAATAAATAGTACGTTCTAGGTATGTAAAAGGAAAAGTTTTTTTTATACGCATGAGTTTTTTCGATCTCATTCCCACCGCAGGATGTGTTTCTTCATGTAGATAAAGAAATTTTTGTCCTTATTTATAATTTGGCTAGACACCTGTTCATACCTCTTAAGTACCCACATCATTTTTATTACTAAATATTTATCTCAAAAACGCAAATAAAATTAGAGTCCAGATCCAGAAGGACAAAAAGATTGAGAATAAATTTCGAAAAGGCAATCAAAAAAAGTTTGAAACCAAAAGCAAAACATTAAGATAGAAGGATGACTCTTGAAATTTTATATGCAGCCTAACGTGTGTCTTACAAGGCGCAAGGTGACATGATACTTGTAAGTCGCAGGTCCACTTGCACCTTCTAAGGCGCATGGGAGTTGTGTATGCACTTTATTCCTTACTAATTCGTGAGTCATATAATGGGCTACCATAATCTCAAATCTTCACTTTTTTCTTTTTTTCACCTAATACTTCTATTTCTTTTGCTTTTTTCTTGGTGGCAACACTTATTTTTATTTTTGAGAGATCTTTTTCGTAATCATCACCTGCATATTCATTAATAATTTGTTAGATTGTGTGCAAAAAGAATAAACTTTTGTCATATATTTATATAGATAGTGCATTGTTTGGATTTGAATTTAAAGTTATTACTGTCTTAATTAGGAGATTGCCTACTTAAATTGGTCAAACTACCATGCTTCATATTGTGCATATAAAGTAGGATATTAAATTCCTAATATTAAATTATATTAATGAAATATCTGCTAAGTTTATTCCCTTCCGAAATACTTATTTTGGAAGGAAGTAAAAGTTAGCAGATATTTCATTAATATACCTTAATATTGTGTTTGACCAATTTAAATATGTAATCTCCAAGTTAAGACAAATAATAACTCTTAATTAAAATTCAAACAATGGCTTGCCTATATATATATATCACCAAAGTTCATTTCTTTTTGTTACACAATTTAATAAATTATTAGTGAACATGACAAGTAATAACGAAAAAACTCTCTAAAAAAAATTTAAGTGTTGCCATGAAGAATAAAACAAAAGAAATAAAAGAATTTGGTAAAGAAAAAGAAAAAATGAAGATTTTAGATTGTGTTAACCCTTGTATGACTCTCATAAAATTGGTAAGGAGCAAGGCACAGACTCCCATGCGTCTTACAAGGTGCAAGCACCTGGACCTATAGGTATCATGTCAACTCACACCTTGTAAGGCATATGTCAAGCTGTATTTTACTCGATAAAAACTTCAACGAGTCACCCTTTCGTCTAATTGTTATCCTTTTGACTTCGATCTTATTTTAATTGCCCTTTTGGAAATTATGCTCATATCTTTGCCCTTTTGAAAATTATGCTCAATATTTTTGCCCTTTTAGTACCAGACTTAACAAGATTGTATCATCAACAATCTTTCAGATTCCACCTTGACATTCCATATCCTCTGTAACTCTCATCTTCATTTCAATTTTTTAAGTTTGATAAATTATCTAATATTTCAGATTAAATATATTTACACAGTTCTCGCAAATAGATATAGTTCAAGTAATATATTTAACAAAGATCAAAAAATATCACTTATAACAAACATATAAAATTAAAATTATTATAAAATACATATTTTTAAAAAAACTATTTTAAACTTATTCCAAACTTATTGGATCATTTTTGTCCACAATTAAAAGATAGCAAATAGTACTCCTACTATACTAGTACTAGACTAGTGTATCTTTGAAATAATTAGATTAGTCAAATTGTACAATAATTTCAAAAATTAACATAACATGTTAGCACAAATGAAAAAATGGGTCCAAATAGTAGTAACAATGAAGTAGCCAACTCAAAACAACAGATAGATAATGTGTGTCATTTAATGAAATCACCATGTGCACAAATTACAAGCCAACTTCACATTATTATGTCAAACATGATTTGCTCAATGACCTATATATTTTAGAAAATAAACACCGATCTCATATCAGTTGTTCATATTATTAAAAATAATTACTTAAATTAATTGACAATTTATAAAATTTTCATTTTACGCTTATAAATAATTCTTTTGAATATAAACAAATCTATAAAGTTTATAAAAGATTTCTTAAAATGTAAGTTAATAAAAATATTATTTTTATTTATGATACTTATTTAAGTATACATATATAAATCATACATGAAATAACTAATAAGTACTCCATTCATTAGGATTGTAATTATTTTAACAACATATTTTTTGCTTAAAATAATACTTATTTTGAAACGGATAAATAAAAATTTAAATATAGTTAAATTGGCATATGCAAATATTACAACAAACTTTACCAATATCCTAGTATATAAATGATTGGCAGTTTGGCTGCTTGTCAACAAAACAGTTGGCATGTTCTCATTGGTCCAACACGATATGAAATCACGATTTGAAATTATAATATAATTTTATGAAATAACGTTAAAATTTTATCTGAACATATAAATAAGACTTTTTAAATTATATGTTTTTTTTCATAAACATAAAAAAAAATCATAATTTGGACATTCCTTTTAGTTTTTAAAGAATTAAGAAGAGAATCATTCAGTATCGTTTTCGTCCTTCGATTTTAGATTTGGATTTAGATTTCATTGAATGATATAATTAATTGATACATTCTTTGAACTAAATTAATTTTCCTTTTCCATTATTTGAAACAAAACAAAAAATCACCTTCTTCTTTCATTATTTTCTGTATCATTCTAAAAGTATGTGATTGACAAAATTTATTGAAATTTTGTAATTTTGATTATCGTATTATAGAATAGTGTTCCAATAATATTTATGCTCTAAAGTAGAAGAGATTAATCCATATCATATATGCAATTATAAGGGAAAATTTTATGTTAAGCTCCAAACTTATATAAATTAATGTTTTTTCTATTTTCAATATATATGTTTTAAAACATATGTAACTATATATATATATATATATATATATATATATATATATATATATATACGCGCAATTATAATTTTTAATAAATTTATATAATCAATTTTGCTTAACCTTCTCAATTATTTTTACTTAAATTCAAATCCAAACCAAAATATATACATCGTTAATATCAAAAATTTGTTTAATTTAATTCAACTTTCTTGGTTCGATTTTCGATTTTTGCATGAACACTTATTTCATTCAACCCTTGAAAATGTACGAAGCTTAAATAATTATCTAATCAGTAACCCCTCAAGGGACAAAAAGTTAGTACAATTTTTTTGCATCATAATTAATATTGGTGTAAGGTCATTTCAATAATAATAGAGTTGAAGTACTAATTGTTACTTTAGAAACTCAAGAATTCTAAGTGTCCTCCCTTCATTTCATTTTATATGTCATTTTTCGGATTTGAAGATTTAAACAAGTTTATTTTTTATTATAAGCATTTTGAATTATCAATTATTGTGACTCATAGTATATTTTACTTTGTTTACTAGTAATATATAAACTTCATTTTTTTAAAAAAAAAAAATTGAAGATCCTATACGTAAATTTTCAGTCAAATTTAAATTGTTTTGCTCTCAAAAAATAAAAAATATCATATAAATTGAGACCGAGGGAGTAATTGTTTTCAATTATACCTCAATACTCTTAATATTAAAGAAGTAATAATTTCTTATACTGCTCAATTCTTAAAACACATCTATTCCCTCGATTCACTTTTATTTGTCATGTTGCGCTTTTTGAAAATTAATTTGACTAATTTTAAAGTTAAATTAGATTGCGTTAATTTGATATTTTTTTTAAAAATAGATATTCAAAAACTATACGAAAAGTACTATAAATTGCAACTTTTTGCATATTGATCAATATGATCAAAATATATATCGTAAAATATTGGTCAAAGTTCTTATAATTTGACTTTAAAAAAGGAAACCATGACAAATTGTGGATGGAGGGAGTATTTGAAATAATTTAGTAAACTATTCCCTTTATCTACTTTTACTTGTCATAATTTTCTTTTTTAGAGTCAAATAATAAGAATTTTGATTGATATTTTATGATATATTTTTTTAATCATATTGAAAAAATGCAAAAAATTACAATTTATAGTACGTTTTATATAGTTTATTAATATCTAAATTTTTCATTTAAAAATATCAAGTTAACATAATCTAATTTAACTTTAAAAATTAATCAAATTAACTTTCAAAAAAGGCAATATGACAACTTAAAAAGATCAAAAGAGTATTTATTATTTTTCTTATTAGATGTGAAAAAATTAAATTTACAATTAAAATGAGACAATTCGAAATGCTTTACACGGAAAATTAATTAGAATTGTTTTGGTCCAAATAAATGTTATTACAAGAATCTCAAGGGTATAATAGTAAATAAAATATAATTATATAATAATTATCATGTAAACCAGACACATATATAATTATAATTATGCATTTGTATATTCATATTTTTTCATATAATAAAATTTTATTATCTAATTATAAAATTTGTAAGCTCATAAAACGTTGCAAAATAGAATATGTGTTTTCAAATGTACATACAATAAATTATGTCACAACAAATTCCGTGTGATATAAAAATATATTATCTAATTATAGTTCAATATTTTAAAATAACGAACAACTTCTATAGTTAAATAATAAAATTTGACGCTAATTCTATTTAATGATAAATTATTATAAAATTCTACTTGTTATGATTTACTAGCAATTTAGTAATGGATTAGCTATAAAATTCGTAGTTAATAATTTCAATTTTAGAAAAAATAAGTACAAAGGCAACACCACCATAAAGTAGAGTGTGGAGCCTAATGTGTATAAAATATTAACAAAAATTTTAAAATGTTATATAAAATTTTATATTAATCAAAACGGCAAAATCGCTTGAACAACAACGATTTCCTCCACCAGAAAAAAGCAAAATCGCTACTATTGCAAAATGTGAATTTTTTTACAAAAAAAATTATATTTTGCAAAATCGCTGCAGTAGTCGCGATTTTATTTTTTCCGGTGGAGAAAATTGCTGTTGTTCCAGCGATTTTGTCATTTTGGTTAATATAAAATTTTATATATTTCATTTTAAAATTTTTGTTAATATTTTATATCCTTTAGGCTTTGTACTCCAATAAAGTATATTAAAATTGTTTTTTTGAAACGAATAAAGTGGAAAATCAACTTTTGCTTACTTTATTTTAAGTAGCTAATAATCTACGAGTTTAGTGGTGTACCATTAGTCTTATTATATTAATTAATTTGTACTTTTCTACTTAAAATAAAAAATAATGTTAAAGCAAGTCATCAATCGTGCTTTTAAAAAAAAAGTATTTTTATGAGGGGTCAGTTTCTAACTAAATTAAAAAAATAAAGATATAAAGGAAAAGATTAGAGGATAAAATTTGTAATAATTAATTAAACTAATGGTCCCAATATTTGTTTTATTAGTGCACCTAATTCTTTTGAACTACATTAAATTGATGAGCGGTTTTTTTTTGTTAAATCAAATTTCATTTTTAGTTGAAGCAAAGATTTTTAATCATAATTATTCATTAAAAAGGTATTTGTTAATATTCAATATATATCGCAAGTCGAAAGATATTATCGTCAAGTTGTTGGTATTTTATATGCATATGAAGAATTCAATTTCATCGGATCCATATCAAGTTGTTTACACAATTCGTGTTGATTATTATTTGTACGACATGAAATTTCACTTATCTTAGGACAACTGAAGTTATTGTCGTTTTTCATGATTTCCATGCAAAATTTATAACACTTTTCCTCGACCTTTTAACACCGGAGAGGTGTCCGACGCTATACATCGAATTACCACTTAGTACAGTCTTGTGTTTTTAATAAACAATCAATACCCCTTATATGCGTCGTTGTTATAATAAAAAAAAATAGGAGATCATCCCTCACCAAAAGTTACGAGACTATTTTGTTAATAAATTATTTTCACTGTGATCCTAATTTATGTGACATGCACTCTTTTTTTTTAGTCATTATGAACAAATGTACATATTTCTATTTTTGGTAACAGTTATAATTCAAACTTCTCATTTATCTTTAATGAAATGATTTAACGATACATAAATTTATGCGACTATTCTAGATCACAAGTTTCAAATTCTCCTCTTCTTTTTTTTTCCTTTTAAATTTTATACTAGTCGAATACATTCACATTAATTGAGATTAAATGAATATAACAACAAAAAGTTAAAACAAAAAATACATATCATCTAACTATAATTAAGTGGTAAGAAATAATAATATGAGAAGTACATATCTAGTATTTATTTATCTGATATAAAATCATGTGTAGATAATTGTTTTGCACTATTAGAGATAATTATTTTGCTGGTTGGTGGTCTGATTTTTTTTTCTCTTAGTGTTAATTAATTTTAAGATTCAATGAACCTTTTGAACTTATCTATCATCTAATCACACTCTAAATGTGAATTATTTTGGAAAGCTAGACATAGTTGGACCCTTAATAATGAATTGTGGGGTATTTCTAATATTGTGTCATAAGCTTTATTTGTTTATCATGAGTTTTAAAAACTTGTCTTTATTATTTATCTTTAAAATATGATAGATACATCCATAAATGATGATAACAAATCTTTTGTCATTATAAAAATTAAATTCAAGAAATATTTGTTATTGTTGACAAACAAATTATAAAATAATTAATTTCTTTGAAAAAAATTAATTAAAAAAATATAATGTTAATGATTCACAGAAAAAAATGCTTGATTCGTATCGAATATGAATTGATAAAAAAAAATTAGTAAAGTGAAAATACATTAATATTTAATTCGACCTATTAAAACAAATGGAATTGGTTTGCACTCTACTCCCCTAAATGAAAAATGTTTAAGCAAGTTTTTTTTTTTTTTTGGTTTTTCACTAGGTGTCTGGAGCCATATTGGAGTTCCGATTAAATTCAGATCGCGTACTGTTGGGTCATTTGAGGGTGGCGCTCCTAACATAATTTTCTCCATACCTAGAGCTCGAACTCAAAGCCTCTGATTAAAGGTTGTATAAACAAGTCATTAAGCTAATGGCTCTAATATTTGTTTTAATTCACCTAATTCTTTCTTTGGGTGCATTTAAATTGAGGTGAGATTAGTTTATAAAAAATCAAAAAGGAAAAAATAAAAATAAAAGAGGATAAAATTTGTAATCATTAAACTAATGATCCCAATATTTGTTTTTATTTCACCTAATTCTTTTTAGTGCATTTAAATTGAGTTAGGGTTTTAGGTTCAATCAAATGAGTGATTTTAATTCTCCCCTATTACATGTATCTAAGTGCTATGTCATTTCTAGTTGAAGCAAATAAGTTTAACCCCAATTATTAGTAAATAATTTTTTTTTATTCGATATTTATTTCATCAAATTAGTATAATTTAATCATAAGAATTAAATATTAAAGTTTTAACTATAGTTAAATAATGGAGTAAGTATTTATATACAAATCTAGCTATCATGTTCGAAAAGCTCGATAACTGATTAAATATATAAAATGTAAATATTAGAGGTGTGTTTGGTAAAAAGATGCTTTTAACGAAAAAGAAGTGATTTACTTAATACTCTAAGGTAATTTGATAAGAAAGCAGAAAATATTATTTTGTAAAATTCTATATGTAATCTAGAAAAATATATTGAAAAAGATGAGGTTGACTAGCTAGCTAATTAGCATGAGTGGAACCAGAATACTAGCTAGGTGGCTCATCCAAATCCTTGTTTTCGAAAATATATATAAATGTCAGCTTCGCCAAAATGGTGAAAAGTGGGTGAAATAAGATATATTGAAAGTACGGTAAATACTTATCTGATCAGATGTTTACGTTAAATTAACTCAATTTACCATAGTTAAGTGATTTAATGTAGTAAATATATATGCATTAATTAATAGTGTATATACAAATATATATCATACATTTTGTCGGGTGTAAATATTTCGTGTGGATCGCTTTTATCATAAAGAACATAGAAAAATGAAATGCCACTGGTGAAGCTTATTTTTCTACTTTCTTTAACAAAGTTATTTTTCTCATCTGTTACTCTATTTTTTTCTCATTATTTGTTCTTTTTTTAATCTCTAATTATTTGTCTATTTTGACAAATAAAAAAAAAGAAACTTTTCTTCTCTAATATACCCTCAATTTATTATTTTAGAAAAGATAAAAAATTTAAAAATCTTAAATATTAATTCATCCACTTCATAATCAATAAAGATAAAATAATAAATTCACTATATCAATTACTTTCTTAATAAGTGTGTCACTTTAAAAATGAACCAGAGACAGAATTGAAAAATAGAAGCTTAATTTTCTTAAAAGATAAAATTATAAAAAATTGTTGATCAATTAAATATTCAAAAGTAAAAGTTCCTCTCTAGTCTCTACCAAACACACCCAAGTTTAAAGGCACAATATTTAATTAACCAAGAAAGATAAATTTTATCATAATAAATAAATTAAAAAAGTGCTATTTATATCAGGAGAAATTTATAGCAATTTGACAACACAACTAACTTTTTTGTTTTTGTGCTTGCCTTTTGTCTATTTGAAGCATATTCCTCTATTGTCTCATAGTATTTGTTTAAAATAATATTTTATAAGGATATTCTTTTTTTTCTTCTCAAGCACCATCCTTTTTCATAAATATTATTTTTTCTATTTTTAAACTAACCAAGTTATATTAAAATACCACACAAAATTACCTAAGAAGAGTTATCAAAATTTTAAGGTCCAAATTCATATAATATTGTAATTATTTAAGGAGTGAATCATAATTGAAAGATAATTATATAGTTAATAATAATTTATGGATTACTATATAAGAATTGCTTAATATTGTGACTTTTTTTTTAAAGATAGCGTTATTTTCATGCATTATTAATATACATATTTTTAAAACTTTTTATTTTGTATAAAATTTCATATATTACATCAAATTTCAATACACCCAAATATAATTTTCGATTTATTACAAAAGGATTATATACTTATAATTTTAAATTCATATAATATTGTAATTATTTAAGCGGTTAATCATAATTGGAAGATTATTAGACAGTTAATAATAATTTATGGATTACCATATAAGAATTGCTTAATATTGAGACTTTTTTTAAAGATAGGCTTATTTTCATGCATTATTAATATATATATATTTTTAAAAACTTTTTATTTTGTATAAAATCTCATATATTACATCAAATCTCAATACACCCAAATATAATTTTCGATTTATTACAAAAGGATTATATACTTATAATTTTAAATTCATATAATATTATAATTATTTAAGCGGTGAATCATAAATGGAAGATTATTATACAGTTAATAATAATTTATGGATTACTATAGAAGAATTGCTTAATATTGAGACTTTTTTTTTAAGATAGTCTTATTTTCATGCATTATTACTATACATATTTTTAACACTTTTTATTTTGTATAAAATTTCATATATTATATCAAATCTCAATACATCCAAATATAATTTTCGATTAATTACAAAAAGATTATATACTTATAATTTTATACGAAGATTATACTTGTTTTCCTCTTCTCATTTGGATTGTTAATTTTTTTAAATGAGAAATTTATATTTTCGAAAGAGAAATATATTTTATTAGACTAATAAATTGATTTGCAATCCACTAAAAAAAAAATGAAAAAAAATTGAAACTGACATATTTACAGGGAATTTATATCCCTATCCTTTATAGTACTTTCATCTCGTACTTTACCTTTTTTTGCGGTAGATTTAATTTTTAAATTATGAATATATATATTTAAATATTATATTCATCAAAATAATAAAATATAATCTAACAACACAAATACTTCCATTAATTCATATTAAGTAATTTATTAAGATATAACACACCCATTAATAAAAATACTGAAAAACACAAACTAAAATCTTTTTTGCATTATTATTCTTTGGATTATTTTCAAAGTAATGTCCTAAAAATGTAAAATAATTTTTAAATATATTAAACAAGGGGTTAATATGAAAAAAAAATTCCAACTTTTTAAAAACTTCTAACTTTTTTTTACTTATTTTAAATTATTAAAAAATTCAACAATCTATTTAATTTAAATTAAAGGGAGTACTATAATATATACATTAAATAGATTAGGAAATAATGTGTGACAACTATTCAAACAGAGTGTAACTAAACATGTACTATTATAATTAAATATGTCCATGTGAGAGAAAAACAGAATTTGTACTGACTAATAAACTAAACCTACCCCATATCCATTATTAGAGTAATAAAAACACATCTTTCGATATTAATAATAGGGAAAATACACAAGTATTCTCTTCAATCTATATTCAAAATTTTAACGATATATTTATATTATAGTAAGGTTTTCTACTCTTTTTGGGCCTACGTGGCACTAGCTTGAAAAAAAAGGTCAACCAGCGTTGAGCCCACAAGATAGTGTCACGTAGGCCGAAAAATGGTAGAAAATTATTAATAAAATAAGTTCAGGGATAGTAGAACTTAATATAGTATAAATATGTCTATGAGATTTCGGGCTTAGATTGAGGGGTACCTGTGCATTATCCCTTAATAATATAAAGAGTTTTCTATTATTTCTCTTTCGTTTCAAAATAAGTATTACTTTCATAAAAAAAATGATATTAATTATCACTTTTAAAGATCATGACAAAAAATACTTATTAGTTTTAATTATATTTTTTTAATTAAAAAAATCACTTTTTCGGATAATAATTAATTTTTTAAGAATATCTAATGAATAAAAATAACTTAATAAATTGTACCTTGTATTTTTGTTCTCTTTAAATAAAAGTCAAAAACACATTGAAGGTATCATAACTTTCAAAATTCATGCCAAACTATGTTTTCAAAAATTCATGCCTGAATTATATCACGTGAGAGTTTCATACTTAAATTATCACTAAATATTTATTAAAATATACATTCAGTGGTCATTGTTTATCACTATTTCATATCAGAAATATTAAACATATGATAATTGAAATGTGTTTCGATATTTTTGATTTTCGACTTTATTTCGTGAGAAAAGTAAAATGAGGTAAAAAAATATTTATTTTAAATTTTTTAATCGGTGTTAGATATTCAGAATTCACATTGAACCCCCTGCTAAATCCGAATAGCAAACTGCCAAGGGTGGACGCCGTGGCCGTTAGGGTTGTCCAATACGAGAAAATTACATCAAATTCAAGTAAAACGATATACAAAGTAAATTAAATAACAAACTTTTTGACATCCTTGACAAAGTAGGTTATTGTAGCCCAACAATTGCAAACCCTTTTGTTATGCAATGTTTGGTTATCTTTTGTAAAAAATTATGACTCTCCCACTATGTTAAGGATATAACAATTTCACCACGTCCTACTATATTAGTGAAGAAACATTTATATTGAAAAAAACGAATACAGTATCATAATATTATAATGGAAAAATAGTTCGAAATATTCGAACTTTGATCAAAATTATTGTAACAATACCGAACTTTAAAAATGACTTTTTACCTCTTTGTATTTTAAAAATATATATATATATATATATTCACGTAGACATTATAAATATTATATAATTTTAAATAATAACGTATTTACGTGACCACATGTATTTTTCCGACCCTTTTCCCGAATTATAATTAATGGATGTTCTCCCACACATGGTTGAATAGTTTGTTTAGAAAAATGTGACAACTGTTTTTTTTCAGATCAGCCTCTTTGAAGACGAAACAAGAAATCAAAGCAATTCTACTCCTAATTTATAGCAGTAAAACGAAATCAAGATTTCCATTTTCTTCTTTCTTCTTCATTTTTTGACTTAAAACCTAAAAGGGTCCTTCAATAGTCCCCTAAAAGTCTCATTTTGATTCAAATCTTACCATTATTGGAATAAAGAAACAATTTTTTTGCTGTTTAAATGTCATTTCTTGAATACCCAAATGGCTATTTTGATTCAAATGAAGCAATCTTTTGTTGTTTAGATGTCTTTTCTTGAACACCCAAATGGCTATTTGAGTTTCATTGTTACCATTATTGGATAAAGAATCAATTTTTTTGCTGTTTAAATGTCATTTTAAGAGTACCCAAATAGCCAAATCTTACCTATTTTTGATAAAGAAATAGTATCTGTGTGTAAATTTTTGTCGGTATGGTAATTTATTTCCAAATGGGTAGGAGAAAATTGAAGTGGGGTTTGGCTGATGATGAAGAAAATGTATAGTGATTGATTTTGTCTTCTTTTTTGAACAAATTGGAAGTTCTTTTTTTTAGCAAATGGAGTCAAGAATGGATCAGTATGAGATTATGGAACAGATTGGTCGTGGAGCATTTGGTGCTGCAATTCTGGTGCATCACAAGCAGGAGAGAAAGAAGTAAGGAGTATAGTTTTTTTTTCTTTTTTTGAGCTTTGAATTTCTCATTTGGTTTTGTAAAATTTGTAAAATTTGATTTCTGGGGTTTATGGAATTGATAGGTATGTGCTAAAGAAGATTCGTTTGGCTAGACAAACAGAAAGATGCAGGAGATCTGCTCATCAAGAGGTACAATTTTTTGTTCCTTTTAATTGGTTAAGGGTTTTACTCTCTCTATCTCTACGAGGTAGAGGTAAGCTCTGCGTATACTTTACCCTCTCCAGACGTACCTGGTGCAAGTTGTTGTTGTTGTAAGGATTTTACCTTTTGTCCTTTTGTTTTTATTTGAGTTTACTATATAAGGAGTGAGAGGGGTTACTTACTCAGAAGAAAAGATTCTTTAGCTATATCTATAGAGTATAATGTCCTTACTTTCCAGATTCTGAAATTGCATATGATTTAGCTACTGTTGGAGTTTGACTTCCACTTCTGGTTTTTTTCTTTGATTTCATTCTAAGTTGGACTATTCATTGAGTGCTTAAATAGGTTATTTGAGTTGATTTATCATGTGGTCACTTAGTCAATAGTTATTATCCTAGAAAGTCATTTTCTTTGTTGTTTCTATGTTGAAGAAATTTGGAATCAATAAGATAGGCGTCTCTCTTAGATAAATAATAAATATTAGATGAGTGACCATTTGAATAGTTAGTATAAAGTCACTTTCTTTGGTAAAAAATATTGGAAAATCGAGCAGAAAGGTGACTTTTTGGGATAATAACTACTATCTCATCTGGGAGTTTAATCTGAGGTTATTTGAAAACCATAGACTCTCTAGATATCCCAGCTTTTGATTTTTTTCTAATCTTCTCTTGCTATGAAAGCTTGTTGATTGTAGTGGATATCAGTTTTATAGAGATTCCAGATTCGAAGTTCATCCTGTTCTTTTAATTATAAGGGGAGCTTTATGAAGAATACATTGCATTAAATCCATATCTAGCTTCTTAAGTTTTTCAAGATACATTACATGTATATATATTTTTTTAATCTGATAGTGACTTCATTTCACGTCATAGTTTTTGGGGACGTGTGGCTTTTATCTGAGCATGTCGCTAGCTGCTAATTAATCTATACTTCAAAATTTTAAACAAAGGCGTAATCCAAATTTTGATGTGCAGATGGCGTTAATTGCACGGATACAACACCCGTTTATCGTAGAATTCAAGGAAGCATGGGTAGAAAAGGTGAAAAGAATGAAGTTTTGGTCACTGTGGACTTACCTTCTCTGCAGATTGTAACTATTTTGCTCTTTGTGTTAATCATAATGCAGGGTTGCTATGTTTGCATTGTTACTGGCTATTGCGAAGGTGGCGATATGTAAGTTTCTTAAACAACTGAAGTTATGTTGACATAGTTTTCTACTATTATTGTTTTGATAATAATAAAAAGAAACATTTTTTTTATAGGGCCGAACTGATGAAGAAAGCAAATGGACAATATTTTCCGGAAGAGGTATGTTGCCAGATTATTAAACTTATTGTTAGTTATAACTTTAGATTGCAGATCACAGACATGGCCAAAAGAGTTTATAGCTATTAGAACTTACAAGATGAATCGTTCACTTCATAGGTGTTACTGTATGATTTATCTAAAATAACCTTCAAATAATCAATATTTCTTTTGTTGACCATTTAAGTTTATGTTTGCAGAAACTTCTGAAGTGGTTCACTCAACTACTACTGGCAGTAGAATATCTGCATTCAAATTATGTGCTGCACCGTGACCTTAAAGTATGTAATTTGATATTTGTTAACATGTTGGTGTTTTACTGTTCTCTCCTATTTTCCTAAGATAATTTTACGTCTGTTCTGGCAGTGCTCAAACATCTTTCTCACCAAGGAACAAGATGTTCGCCTTGGTAAGTTCATGCAGGTGTTTTTCACTGAAGTTGAGATGAATGCAAGTCTAATTTTGACAATACTTTTTGTTGCAGGGGATTTTGGGCTTGCTAAAACATTGAAGGCAGATGACTTGGCTTCTTCAGTAAGTGTCTGATACATATATTGCCTTTTAAATTACTGCCCAACGAAGTGCAAAAATTTGCACTATATGTCCCATGGTTAGTATTGTTTGATATGGACATTATCGAAACTTTAGATAGGGCTACTAACTTTAGTTTGCACCTGTAGAAAAGTATAAAACAATTTGGTTGACATTCTCAATTGTTTAGAATATGACATTGAAGTTTGACATACATTTAGGTGATATGCTCCTTTTAGTTGACTATTTTTGACATAAATATTAATTAGTTAGTGATCTAAGGAAAAAAAAACAGGCACAAACTCAAGGATTTCCATATGATATACAATAATTACTACAATTTTATATATGTTGCTGCTAACCTACAGACACGATACTAACAGAGAAAGCAAACCAAGGATGCAGAGTGGTCAACTCGACCCCCACCTCAAGTTCAAATAAAGGAAAAAACATGAAAAGAAAAATGAAAGAGATGTCATTTACAAGTAGTCATGCAATACCTGATCAAAATGAAGTAATTATGCAATAGCTTAGGATGAAAGAGACACTTTAGAATGCTGATGATGTTTTTGTTAAATATTCCAGGTAGTTGGAACGCCCAATTACATGTGCCCTGAACTTCTTGCTGACATTCCTTATGGTTTTAAATCAGATATTTGGTCCCTAGGTATGGAGCTTTCTTTACCTCATGCTCTCCATCAAAGTAGTGCATTTATATCAAGCAATGCTATATGACAATGGTGTACATTGTATGAAGTACCACATGTACATTTATTTGTAATTTTGTGGGAAGATACCAACATCTATGTGTCATCTGACTTTATGAGAAATTATTTCTTCACCAGGTTGCTGTATGTATGAAATGGCTGCTTATCGACCTGCATTTAAAGCATTTGTAAGATTTTTTTTCTCCTCTTCTCTATTTCTTCTATTTTCATGGCATCTCTTGGGGCCTTTGATGAGAAAGAAATTGAGCTACCCCATTTGTTATTTGGCTGATTTCATACATGGACTACAAATACTAGTGAAACTGCATATATTAGAAAACTTAATAGTCCAAGTTATCTAGCTGTCATTGTTGCTTGAAAGTCTACCTACTGACATTCCAGATTTATATTCATTATATAAATGCATTTCAGTACTTCTGTAATGTGAAAAGTTCTGGATGTAACCTGTTTTAGATCTGAAGGATATTTTGGTTTCACATAATCTGCAAAACACTCACAATGTGGTGCAGTTTTCTTATTGAAGTAAATAAATGAACAACCACGTCCATGAACTTTTCCTTGTATCTGTCTTCCTTTAAGTTAAGATTGGACTGAAAGTGTTTTTTTAATCACGATTCAGGACATGGCGGGATTGATAAGCAAGATTAACAGATCATCCATTGGGCCTCTTCCATCATGTTATTCTCCATCCTTGTAAGTCTGACATTTGTTCGTGTCACTGCAAGCATAACTTACATTTTGGCTAAGGTTTTGTTATTCTTGATCCTTGTAATTGTAAGTCAAGAGAATCATTTAAAGAAAAAAATTGCTACAAAAAAGTTAAATCACTATGATCTGTATAGTCCTATTATAAAGAAAAAAGTTGTTACAATAAATAAATGAATGAAACAGAGGAATATCAGATCGTGTGTACTTTCTAATCCTTACGGCGGATGTTACGTCTTCAAGTTTTGGTATATTGACTTTTTACAACCTTTAATTCATTTTTTCACAGAGTGTTCTTGATTTGACTTTCGCCTATTACACTAAGGACAGAATGTAAGTTTAGTATATTCTCTAGGATGTGCTTAAGTCTCAGTAGTGAATGTATTCAATCTAAGGTATTTTTCCAATTAGTGTCTACTTTCGAAACAGCCTCTCTGCCCCACAAAGGTATGGGTAAGGTCTGTGTACATGCTAGCCTCCGCAGACACCACTTGTGGGATTATACTGGGTATGTTGTTGTAGTGTCTACTTCAATTGTCATGGCAGTAAATTTCCATAACTTTCTGGATTTTTATCTCTTAATTTGAAGAGGCTGAAGCATGTTTCGTTATTGTCCCCTTCCAGTTTGGATGCCAGGGTAAATTGTGGAGAAGTTCGCTGTTTACCATGTTCAAGTTGAAAGTCAAGTCAAAACTCTATTTTAGCTTTTTGAGTTTAATTGTGCTATTCCTTCTTTTTTTTATTATTGGATTTTTGTAGCAAATTTCGTCAGCAATCTGGTTTAGTTTCAGTTGTTTGTTGATTATTCACGACATAGAATAACCCATATAAAAGTAAATTATAGTATAAATAGCTTAACTTGAATAGAATTCATTGATTAGTATGTGACAGTACGGCAATCCGCAGATGCTCAGCTTAAGTAGTTGTTGCAATTATCAATGGATCTTAGTTCATATCTTGATACTGATACACTTTTCTTCTGTTATATATTGTTTTTCACAGGAAAACACTTATTAAAGGCATGCTAAGAAAGAATCCTGAGCATCGTCCCAGTGTAAGCTTATCATGACTTGCTCCTACTTCACTTGTGTCAGATTAATACTTCAATCATTTGACATCAACCTTTCCAGGCTTCCGAGCTCCTGAAGCACCCCTATTTGCGGCCGTATCTAGAGCAATACCGACCATCCTTTATAACTCATGTAGGAAACTATCCTGAAAAACCTCTCACTACTGGCCGCGACTCAAGAAAGAATATGGCAGAAAGCCAAAGTAGTACAAGTTCCTGTAGTGATAAAGATAGTTTGAAGTCAAAGGAGAAAAACATCCAAAGCAGGGCTTCCAATTATGATTACAGGGGCACTGATGTTGATGTGGCATTTGTTGACGATGATATTGACTTTAGGCAACTTCATTCCTTTGACGAAGATACTGGAGATGATGCTTTTCCTGAAGATACAGATGACTTTGAATTTAAGAACATTATTGATGATGAGAGGAGATGTGATGCAGAAGCTAAGCAACCTAGAGCAATAAAAAATATTATGCTGGCTGTGAAAGAAGGAAAAATGAGAGAGCATAGTTCCCCAATGAGGGGCAACCGACCGAAGATTGGTGCACAGAAAGCTAACGCTGAAGCACCACCAAAGGTCCCAAAACCAAGTTCAGTTGCTCCTTCTAAACCCAATGCAGAGATGCCATCTCCCGGATCAACAAAGGCTGGATCTGATTCCACCAAAAGGAATCATGGACTGCCTGCTCTAAAGCATCAGGTGATTAGCTATCTAATCTTCTTATCTCCATTAGTATTTGCATATTGGTTTATATGTGACATTTTTAGTGACCCTTTCCTTGCAGTTACCTGTCATCGATTCCAGTCCCAGGACTAAACCTAGACATGAGGGTATCTCCTCGCCTGCTCCTTCAAAGCATGTTGCTGAAGATGGAATTCCTGCAAAGCAAAGACTGCGAACACCTCCAAACTTTAGTAGACGGCCATCATTCCCCAGAAGGACAAAGCAAGTGGGGCATGATGCCTCAAATACTCCTAACAATAATGTTAAGTCTGGTTCCAATGACAATTCTCCGTGTCTTGAAAGGACTCCTGATTCTACGCCTGATGGATTCCATACACATGCTACAAATAACTGTGTGCAACATTCTCGAAGAGTTTCATTTGGAGCTTCAAAAGAAACACAAGCAGAAAGTAGTGTTTCTGCTTGTTCTTCTGTGTCAATTCAAGGATTTGAACTCTGTGATGATGCAACAACTCCTTTTATGAATTTAACGGAGCAGATGCTCCAAGGTCATGAAAGAGCTACTGAAACTGAAACCACGAGATCAAGGCCCTCTTGGTCTACCACTAACTCATCTCACTCGGAGGTTGCTTTTAGTTTAGGGGAGGAAACCCATGATAATAAGAATTCTGAACCATGCTCCATCGAGAAGTATGACGAGCATCACATTGTGGATGTTGGTGCTTGCAATCAGAAATCAATTTCGACTGTGGCCACTGATAGTGCCTTCCCTTGCTCCAAAGAAATGTCCGTCTTTGAAGATCATTCTACAGCTCGCAGACTTGATGTTATGACGGATCTTTTGCCTCTATCAGACCCCACTTCAACATCTTCTGGGGACGATAAGTTTATGGTGAAGGTGTCATCCTCAACAACAGAAATAGCCTCACCCACTGCTCCCCCCGTTTCATTCAGCCAAACTAGTCTACCAAACTCAGATGTCACTTCAAAATCTGATGACGATGACAAGTTTATTACAATGGAACTCTTGTGCACTCCCACTGAAAGTACTACTCCTTCACTCCCTCCTTTTTCACCTGCTCTAAATAATTTGTTGTCAGAGAAGGGAATTGCTCCGAAAACTATGGTTCTTGAAAAAACAGCTGCTTCTCAGCTTACACCAGCTTCTGATGATGTCATACATGTCATTCGGCACAGTAGTTTCCGAGTGGGTAGTGAGCAATCAGTGATGGACTCGGTGGATAGAAATGTTGATGTTGGGCAACCAATAAGTGTGGTTAGAGATGAAGTTGATAATAACAGTCGAGATGCTGTTGGGGCTCCAAATGCTTCTACTTCTGCTGGATCAGTGATTCTTAATTCCAATATCCCTGATGGTGTCCATAATAAGGAGATTGATGTAAGAAACCACAGCATTCCTATTTCAGCACAACGATTAGATTCTCCAGAACCAGTTGCAGAGGAGGAAAGGCCAATGAAGGAAATGTTAGATGTCAAGTCTTTTAGACAGAGAGCAGATGCACTTGAAGGTCTACTCGAACTATCTGCTGACTTGCTGGAACAAGACAGATTAGAAGAGCTTGCTGTTGTTCTTAAACCATTCGGCAAGAACAAGGTCTCACCGAGGGAGACAGCTATCTGGTTAGCCAAGAGTATGAAAGGAATGATGCTTGAAGATTCTGCGCGAAATTCATGATCCATTATGCTTGTTCTACAGTGTTGCTCACTTGTTATTATTTTTTCTTTATGTCATTCAACTTCCTATTGAATTCGCGAAGAGAAAGCAGTTGAAGAGGTGCTTTAACTTCCCTTTTTCACATTAGTATTTATGTAATTCATTCACTTCTGTAATTGTATATAGATAGATAGAAACTTTGAATAAATCTTTGATGTGCAAAATGTAAGGATGTTTTGATATTTGATGGTGTGCATTGTTACATTTCTTGAGTAGCACTTCCTTTGCACAAGACTCCTTCCTTTCATTACCTATAATGAATTATTGGCTACGACGGTAAACACTCCTCACTTTCAACCATCAGGTTGTGACTTCGAGTCATTAGAGGAGCAAAAAAGTGGGCCTTTTTAGAGAGGAGGTAAAAAAATATGTAAACAAAAAACGTTTAGCCTATATTAGGTACTATAGTTACATCTTAAGAAAGTTGTAATTCGTGGTTATAGTTTTCTCAATTCTTGCTATTCGTTTGATTTATATATAACTAGTCTTGTTTGTATATATCCAGAATGTCGTATATGCTTGCTCTAACTATTTGTAAACGATATATGAAAAATTCATAATAAATTACTCTATTTGTGTATTGACAACCAAAATATTACAAACAGAATTGTGAAAAAAAACCATAAATGTATAACTATAGAATTTGTATATATTTACCCTATTTGTATTTTCACAAGCGAATTACACAAATGGATACAACAAACCGCAGTCTCCATAGCAAACAAAACTATAGACATTACAACTATAGAGCTTTATTATATCTATTCTGTTTGTTATTTCTAAAATTTTCTCTAAAATTGTATTAACAAATTATACCATATTGGAATCTTGATTTTGTGAAACTATTTTTAGCTAATTTTTATTTTGTAGTTTAGCTAAAACTATTTTTTTTCATTTAAGTGTCTAATTTTTAATAGTTTTGAATAAAGAAAATAACTCTTTCAATTATTTTTTTAATTGTTTTTAGATCTCCTATATATAAAAACAAAAATATTTGATGACAAGAGCATAAGATAAGCAAACTTGTGAAAGACTACCAATTAACCCACTAAAAACTATGAAAAAATTGCCAAATGTAACTTGATTATGCCTCATAATTACACCTTTTAAATAATTACAAAATATAACTATATTTTACATTTTATAGTTGATACACGTGTCCTTATAGTCGTCTTTAATAGAGAGTATTTTACCTTCTAATGTAAAACTTTTTTATGCGAATTCAAATTTAATTGAATTTCAATATGGATATCATCGAGTGGAAAACTAAAAAAATATATGCATATATAGACACTATCAATTTATATACAATATTTCAATTTATATGTCGCATAATGTATACATTTTTAAAAGAAAAATATAATAATATTTTGAAGTAACACAATGTCACTATTATTTTTTCCTCAAATAAATAACATTAATCTTGCTATTTATGAACTTTTTTAAATATTTACTATCAAATATAAATAAACTTGATAATTTTGATACATAAATAATTCCTTCTCGTAAGACCGCCATGATGGGAGTTATTTATAATTTCTTCGTAAAAATTTATATTTTCATATCGTAACATTTTATAAATTATAATTTTTTTTAAATATTTTAATAATTTTTCAATTCAATTTATTGATCAATTCGATTTTTCGAGCCGTCCATATACCCAAGAAGAGACCTGTTGGATTCCGGCCCGCCAATTTAAACAACCCACTGAACTCAACTCAACTGGAACTGAAACGACACAGTATTTTCGTCTTCTCCGGCGAACTTGCTCTTCTCCGGCGAAGTCTCCTCATAGGTATACCTCTATCCTTATACTCCAATTTCTCCTCTAAACAGAAAAACCCTAATTTTTTTTTTGTTATTCCTTGCCCTAATGATAGATTTTGGGTTTTAAAAAAACTGCATATTTGGATTGTATTGCAATGTTTTTGTAATTTTTTTATTTGATTGTGTTTGAATGTGTATAAAGTTTGTAACTTGGATACCCAAGGGTGTGGTCTAGTGTCAATTGGAAGTAGGTTGAGAATTGTGAGGTTTTGGGTTCAAATCCTAGTAGAGACGAGAAATTGTAGGTTTCAAGTTTTGGTGAGCAAAGTTATCGTGTACATGTGCTGGTGGTGTATGAAGTGTGTAACTTGGGCACCCCAAGGTTGTGGCAAGTGCTAATGAAGTAGGTTGATAATCATGAGGTGTTAGGTTTACATCCCCATTTAGACAGGAATTATTTCTTTCTATCTGTTCAAATTTTGATGGATAAAGTTATCGCGTACATCTGTTGGTGGTGTATGAAGTGTGTAACTTGGGCGCACCCAAGGTTCAATGTTGTCGCTAGTGTTAATAAAGTAGGTTGAGAATCATGAGGTGTCAGGTCCCCGTACGAACAAGAATTATTTATTTCTATATGTTCAAATTTGGTGGACACTTACATGTGTTGGTGGGAGGTAGTAGGTACCCTGGCCCGTCGGACACAACGGTTGTATAAAAAAGGGGAAGTGTGTAACTTGGTGTTCATTTGGTCATTAGACTGATTATGCAATGAGTTGTTTCAATATTTTTATAAGCAAGTTCTTGCACAAGTCTTTCAAATTTCATTGTTTTTCTTGTGGTTATTTAGAAAAGTTACTTATAGTTATCCTTTATGTACTTTTATCCCCTCTAATCCAATATTTTGTCTAACTGGGATTACGAAGAAGAGAAAAAGTCTCCTGCAACTTGAAGCAATAGTTCCAAATTCGTACATCTTTCATTTGGAGCGATCAGAACAATAATTTCAATGGTTAAGCAATGCATGCCCAATTGATTCGAAAATCAAGAACTGATACACCATTTTAAAATAACTAATAAAAATATGTATATAAGAGTTCATTAGAGCATGCTGCTGTCTGTTTTTCATGGGTACTGAAATGAGGTCACCCAGTTTAACCACAACATTGTCCATGGACAGTCACTAGTAAAGGAGAACCATACTGAAGGAAAAGAAAGGCGTGGAATTGTTTTCCATTCTTATTATTAGTAGAAAGCATGATCTTTCTTTAACTCTTCTCTTTTAACTAACTGTACCCATAGGCTTGGTGAAAATTTCCAGAATTGGAGCCAACAAGAGAAGCATCTCTGATATGGCTTATGGAGGCACAAATGTCAATCCATTGGCAGCAACAGGTGGTTCAACAACAGTGAGGCAGGTGAAGTTGGAAAAAGAATGTGAGCTCCGAGTTGAAGCCAGCGCTGACTCGCCTCTCCGTCTTCGGCTCCTAACTGGCACGGCTGAGATTTTTGGGACTGAAATCCCTCCTGGAATCTGGCTCAACTTTCCTCCAAGACTTAAATTTGCAGTATGATTCTATATCCATCATCTATCAATGAAATGAATGTGTGCCCTGGAATGATTGCTTTACTGTGAAAATCTTTGCTGGATGAATCTAGTAAATGCCTCAAGTTTCATTAATATATCTTTTGCACGTGAGTATCAATTTAGGTTATGTTTGATAAACAGAACTGCTTACTGACATACAAGGATATGAAAAATTCTTTCTAGATTTACATGGATTATAAAGAGCCTAGCTAGATGGAGTAGTTTCCAGTTTCCACTAGGTGGGAGCTATTCATAATTGCATGGATAACCCCCCCCCCCCCTCTCTCCAAATGCTTTGCTCTAGGTAAGATCGCAACCATCGTGTATGTCACGGGTTTAAACCTGCCTAACACAAGAGCACGGTATATATTTTATTGGATAAGGTAAAGGTTTACTAAATAACTGAGTACCAAAGGTAGAGAGGTGGGCCCATTTCCACAGAGTTTGGAACTGTGCACCATTGGCTCCTTGGAGATTTCTCGGGTATAAAGAGAACTACTATAAAAGGACAGGAGAAGGTACAGAAGGCGTCCTTACTAAGAATATTGGACATGTTCTTCAATACCAGTCAGTTGATTGAAATAGAGATGCTGGACTAGAATAAGCAGTGGGCTTGTGGGGGAGCTTCTTTTGATGTTTAGAACAGAAGAAGGGTTTTGCAGATTGTCCTCTGGAAATTTTAACTTGTCATGAGAATCATTCTGCAATCACATTTGGGTTGAACTCCCGAGTTTATTGAGTAATTCAAGTTGTATTAATGTTAGGCTACACTAAGTTGGTACTGAAATTGTTACTCGGAAACTAGCAAAAAATTACTTAAGGAACTAACAAAGTCAATCGAAGAAGCATTCTTTTCAAATCTGATTTAAATGCCAAAAAGTGCTGCAGCAAACAAATTAGCTTTTGTCTTCTGTATAGGGTTTGCCTTGCCTTCATACACTTTTTGTTTCTTTATCTCCACAAGGTTCAGCAAATATCGGCAGGAATGGGTATACCAAATATTTTTTGAGTCCCTTCTTAGACTTCTCCCTTCCAACTCAGCTCCAGATGGTCCTTTAATAGCCCATGGTACCTTGGATGCTCAAAAAATAGGTATCACAACTGAGATGCTAAGAGACAATGTAAGCAGTTTATGAATGATGTTAAAATCTGCTGCTAAGTGCAACCTTAAAAGAAGTAAGATGCTTCAACAGTTTGTCTGTGGTAGGGGAACTCTGTGTAGTCCAATACATGGTATTTGTGGATACAGCATTTTAGTTTGTTATTAATCTAAAGAAGAATAATTTGGATATATTTGACTCTTCGGGGTGGCCCAGTGGTTTGAGCTTGGACTTCTATGTTGGAGGTCTCAAGTTCAAAACCCATTGCCAGCGAATGCAAGGGGTTTGCCTTTTGGGTCGAGCTCGTCGCACCACGCTTGCCTAGTGCGGGTTACCTTCCCTATGTGATTTACGAGCTATTGCATAGGAGCGGGTGTTTTACCCTGTGCGCACCCAAAGGGTAGAGGCTGCGTGTTTCCCTTGTCATAATTTTTTTTTGGATATATTTGTGGGAGGTTTTATTACTTTCGAGGTGGTCTTTGGCAGACATGTAAATTTGGTTGAAGGTTTGCTTGTTTGTGGTAGTTGATGTTACAAATACTAGTAGTTGGTTGGGATACTTTGTTGTACAATTGACTTAATTTTTTGCTACCTATTGTGACTACCTTTATAAGCTAGTTTGATGCAATATCTTGTGTTTGGGGGATGTTAGAAGTCCCGTATTAGTTGTGGATGGGTAATTGATTTCCTTGTATGGTTGTAGATATTCCTCATAATGATGTTTGGGTTGAGTTAGGCCAAATTTCAATTTTTTAGCATGTTATTA